TATTGCGTTTATTAAACATCTAAGGCACCACTTTTCATATATTGTCATACTCGTCTTGGCGGCATATACAACAGCGCAGGAGTCGAGTCGTGTTATGCAACTGCCTCCCGCTTCTCCTGCTATCGAGATAGAAAAAATAAACAGACATGGGAAGAAAATATAGTGTAGTGGGACGAGAATTCAAGACTTGAAGGAATAAATGCTCGCAAACAATGAAAATAAATTTGAAGAAGTTGCTACTTCTTTGATACTGCCTTCTACGCATTCTAGTGTCAGCTAGGACATTGATATTTGAAGGTGTCGCAGCCTACCAGGTAGCAATCCTTAAGTTTGATGAACTCTGTGGCACATTTCCCTTTCTCCATAGCATTATAATCGGCCACAACACATCTCCCATAAACAGCAGCCTAATAAGCCCAAGTTATTAAATGAACGCGCGGGAGAGCTAGGGATTTCTAACGCACCTGAGCTGAGCACAGTGAAGCCGCAGAAGCCAGCCTATGAAGCTGACGACGACCAACCGCTTGAGGCATGGGCTGTATGGTAAGCCCTCTACGGGGTACTGTTGGTGCTCCTCGGTTCAACGTTTCATGAAATGCGAGACAGGGTCTACTTTGAATCAAGATATCAAGACATCAACTCGGTTCAATTGATATGAGCGAATGGAAAACAAGCGGCAGCGAAGTCTTTGTTCTGAAAGGTGGTCCGGTAGAGGAGACGTCAAACTGTCTTGCTAGGAAACTTGGGTCTTTCAAGTTTGTGCACTGTTTTCGACCAAAGTGTTGCTTACATAATACACTTACGCCAGTTGATATGACAATCTCCCACCCCTGCTTCGCGTCCCCGTCGCGGACTAACTGATGGCGCGAACGAAGTAAAACACGACATTTCCGAAGAGTTAATTCAGTTCAAAAGCGCTGCAGACAAAGCAGGACTTCCCCCATAGTCCTGAAATTATTCACACGTCATCTATCCCTGGTGGTTAGTACAATGGACGAACTGTGACAAGGAACAATCGCCTCCAGTAAGCATCACACCGAGCGAGCCATCGTGACGGGTCGGTCGAAACTGATGTCTTTAGTGGCAAATGTTCAGTCTTCAACTAATGGTCAAGACCATAGTTTGGCCCAACGTCCTAGCCAAAGCAGCCCCAACCAGACACAACTAACTCAGGAACCTTATTATTCAAATCAAGGTACGAAGTGAGAAGCTTGTCTTTTCGCCCCGAACTTTGTGCGTTTGCGCTGACACATCCGATTCTCAGATATTGCAATCCTCCATTCCGTGGTTTCCTCAGCACAAGATGAATTCGATAGATCGCCCTTCCCAAAACCCCTACCAGCCGCGGTTCTATTCAAGGCTTACGACGATGTACTTCCTACTTTTGGAATCGACCCGGACTCCGATCATCACCTGTCCGCCTTGGTGTTTCGTATTGGGGGTGAGCATGGTGGGTCTTTATTGGACAAGTTTGAGGCAATTCTGAAGCGAATGGGGATATTGCTTGAATTTGGCGAGAATACGACTACTTCACAACATCCATCCCATTCGAGGTCCCCCTCCGTAACGCAGGATAAACAAGATACGATCGAACTTACAAACGCGCTCGAACTAGACGCCTCTCCTGGTAAGGACAGGAACCTATCATCTGACCTAGTTCGCCCAAGGTCATCAACGCCGGGTCGTCGTCATCTAGAACAGCCGAAACACGTAGTTGTTACTCAGGAAGCCCCGGCGTTGGCTCATACAACCACAATCCACTCGCTGCATCGCTTGCCAAATTGTGAGAAGTATGTTGGCGATGCGCCTCCAGTAATCACGGCCAAAGACTTGGTGAATTCATCATCTACCAATTCCAATGGACTGAAAGTAGCAAACACATCCAGGATCGGTTTGGCGCCGGTGAAAGATCACTGGCCTACCATTGCATCCATAGGGGCAGGGCACGACCATGCCTTAAATACAACGTTCCCAGCTACTTTTCATGAGAAACCAAAAGACAATCTCCCATTCAACAATGCACAGTCGCCAACATCTGCACTACTGGAAAATGGGAAGACCCCCGAGATTCATTCGCGTCTAGATACAAATCAATCCGACTTGGACACTCTTGAAAATCAATTTCTTGGAAATAGAGCAGCGAGAGCACGCCAAATTTTTCTCGCTAGCAAAGTATTCAACAAGTGGGCTGATGAGACTGCAGTACGACTTGAACGGGAAGCTATTGCAAGAAGGCACATGGTTCGCTTCCGTTGCTTCAACAGCTGGACACTCGCTCCGGATTCAAGAGTTCCAATGGTGAGACATCTGAAAGCTGTTACTGCTGTCCAGAAGCTTCGGCGTGCAGTTAAGTGTCACGAAGAGCAGTTGAACGTGGCTTCATTGTTAATTCATCGAAGCTACATACACAAGAAAGCCGAACGCTTTCTGGGCTATTGGCGTACTTGTGTTTTGGCCAGGCAGGCTTTCAAAATGTCGGACAGGCGCATAAAAAATTGCGTAGTTGGGCACTGGCTCAACCAAGCTACTACTGACAACAGGTTCGCCAGCAAAGTTGTGGGAAAATCCAACTATCACAAAGGCAGTCATCTGTGTGCTAAGTGGATGAGACGAGCAAAATCACATGTCGCCCAAATAGACGCAGCTCGGCAAATTAGCGCCGCTTCAGGTGTCATGGCCTGGCTTCACGAGTGGAGAGATCAATGTGAGGCAAATTTTCGAGCTCGTACTTGTCGGAGGCTTCTGGCAACTGAGAATTCACTACGAGTATTCGAAGTATGGAATCTTCGAGCTCGAGCACAGGCATTCCGCTGGAAATGCGAGTATTTCTCTATCCTTGAGTTAATGAACATGTGGTCTACAGCTGCGAAGCTCGACTCCGTGCAAGAAACCGCATCAAAGAAGTATTACACGAATAGAACAATCAGCATGCTTATCAGTCACATGCGTTCTCACAGCCAGGACCAGCGCGAGCTGAGTTACTTAGGGCGGCGCGCAAGATGGTATATTCAAGCCACTCGCCTAGTGCAGGTTTTCGATAGTACTGCCCGGTATCATAAACATCAATCGAGACTGGTGATTAGGCGATATCTCATGATGAGATACACTCAGGTGTCGTCCAGGAGGAGGCAGCGCAGCTTCTATGCGGCACTGGGTCGCTGGCATTCACATGCCACCCAAATGTTAGACTTGGTACGAGCAGGACATGACTACCAAATGAAACATGATGTGGGCTGCAAGCTTGCCGCGGCTACGTCCTGGGAGCAGCACAGGCTGCAGGCTGAGACATTGCTTTCTCTAGCCGTGGATTATCACAAGGAACATATGTTGGACAAATGGAGATATGAGGCTTTGACTGATGAACGACGGCAAACGGAAGCGTTGGGATTACGGTCAACCGAGAGGCAGCGCCAGTCACTTAAGGACTGGACAATTTCCGCACTTCAGAGGAGCGGGCAGGCGCATTCTGCGATAACGGTCAGACAAAGACACAATCGGGAAAATCGTAATCGAGCTCTTTTATCATGGAGGCGGCTTGCGAGCCCAGCGAAGGCAGATTTGCCAGAACTACAATCGCCGGCCTGGAATGGCCCATTACACAGCTCCCGCAGGGTCATGAAGTCGCTTTCGAGGCCGCGTCCTGTTTTTCGCCAATTCGAAGATGGTCAAGACCTTATGAGTCCATTGAAGACACCTTCTCGTTCAACAGGGCTTTCACTGACAGCAACCCGCACGCTCCCTCTGCGCTTGATGGATCCTGTGGAGGAAGTGGATGGGAAGTCGGTGAACCAGGGACAAAACAATATGGCTAACCTCTGGAACCATGACGACCCGCGCCGTAGTCGCATGGCCGATCCTGGAACGATAAGCTCAACGACGCCGCGGGCTCCAATGCCAAAGGACACGCCCTGGACAATGCGTTATGCCTCAGCTTCTGCAGGGCATTGGGGCCATGCATCATCTTTGGGACTAGTCGGGGCGCGTCGAATTCGTGAAAATGGCGATCGGTTTGATGAAATCTCCTTCACAGGCAGGGTGTCAAAACCACTTGTTTCAGGACAACACAAGCAGACAATCGGCGAGAGAAATGCCATTGAGGCGAACTTGTCAACTACTCCCTTATCTCGTCCTCAACTTGCCAAGCCCAGTAGGTGACTTGACTCCGGCTGGCAACGGAATGTGGATAGCGCCCTTGGCCGGGCGGGTGAGGCTCGTCCCCATATAGTATATGATAGCAGACACCGGCCACTTTAGTAAATAAAGTAGACTGCCCTCGCCGCATTGCCTCCCTGGCGTGGGGTTCTACTGCGCGGGCTTTCGCTAATTGAGTATCTTTAGCTCTTCCAGTGAACGTGTATTTGACGGCTGCTCTTGTGCTGCAACTATCGTGCTGGGCCTGTGTTGCGTGACGGGTCTAGTACATCTTCGCACTGGATAGACAGATGCGCGTGACCTCTGGCACAGACTTGGACAATGTCCGTTATTGACCAACGTGCCAAAGCCGCTCGCTGGTTCCGTACTCTGCTGTAGGGGTGCATGGCAATGTTTGTGTCTCCTTCGGGGTAGATCGAGAGTAAATGGAGTGAGTATATTCACACACAGCTCGGGTACAATACGAGGCTTGGATGTCATCAGCAAACCGCCACATATTATCAGTTGCGATTGTGTAGCTAGGTCGACGACCATGGTTTGTGAGTACAGATGCAGTAGATGGATATCATAACAGTCTCATTTGATATGCAAGTCCGTGTAGCAATCTATCACTGGAAGGACTAACCTGAGCAGCATTTTGTCTTCAGGGTAGGCAAAAGTTATCAAACGACACGTGCCATTACATAATGTACCTATTGCGTCACTGGTCCAAGTTCCACACGTGCAGGGCTCCAGCAATTTACCAAGCTAAAAATCGCTGTGACTGGCACGAGTAGCCTGCAAACAAAGAATGAGCCAGCCGCCATATTGACATCTAGACATGAGAAATATCATTGAAACCCGGTAGTATGATTGCCGTCCTTCCCGGCCAACCCCCACCAAGGCTTCAAGGCGTAACGACCGGCTTTTGGGATGGGCGTCATCAAAATGTGAGTTGCCCCCAATGACCTAGCTAGACCCTGCTCTCATACCATCTGCTCCAACAGGTATATATAAGCGGCAGTGCCTTCACGATACTCGATGGGGTCTACCGAATCTTGCAAACGGTGTATGACGACGACAATGAACAGCATCTTGACGCGATTGCTATCGACGAATCATCCGGAAAGATTGCAACTTGCACAGCAGAACAGGTCCGCATATATCGGCCACTTATTCTACAAGATGACAACAGAAAGGTTGTGCTGTTTCCCTTACAGGCTTGCTCGCACTCGACACAACGTCCACCATACTGATATTATCCCAGTGGGCACAACAGTCGTGTTTTGATATACCACAAGCTATTTCGAAAGCTACCTGCGCTCTGTCCTGGGGCGGATCCGAAGAGCTCCTAGTAGCCTCAAACTCACTTTACCTCTTTACCACAGCCTCATTCCCCGTGAATATATGGCAAAAGGTCTTACCCAACCCGGCCAAGTCTGCCATCATCTCACACGACTCGGCATACATCGCTTCCATTGGTCAGCACGATTGCCTGACCAAAGTTTGGAGGCGACTGGTCTACGGTGCAGACGAAGTTCGATTCGACGTGACGTACCTTCGTCACCCCGACATAGTTGTTTCTATAAGATGGCGCAGACCACATCATCCAGATCAGTCGGCGGACAATGTCCTGTATACAATATGTCTCGACAATTCAATCCGTGTCTGGATCCCAACGGAGGCAACTGAAGGTCGACACTGGCAACTGCTGGGCCGAGTTGATATGAACGAGTCTGCCATAGAGATGCCAGTACGATCAAACCCTCCGCTCATATTCATTGTCGATGGATCTGAATTTACTACTGCCGTGGAGAAAGCTGTTAAGGATCGAAGGGCTGATGATCGAAGTACGGACGATGCAGCTCTGGATCCGCTTGTTACTGTTGTAAACAAGAATCCTGAAATGTGTGTCAGTATCGACAAACTTGGCAATATGTCTGTATGGGCACTAGAGAATGTAGGGAACAACAAGCCTGAGCAGTTCAAGGTCTTTAGCGTTGCGAAGTTCAAGCTGCCGCATTTTGAACCCATGGACGAATTCTTGAACGGCCAAGAAGGAGGGGGACACACTGAGGTTCAAAACTACTGTGACAGATCAAGTGGAAGGCTTCATATCGTGCTGCACTCTTTTGATGGCAAGATCGGAATTTTTTCTGGAAACGTGGCGGACCTGTTGGATCCTAAAAAAAATGATCGACGCCTCAACCTCCAAACCGTCTGGACTGGACATACTGCACCTGTCAAAAAGATTGTGCGTAATTTCAGTGGTCATGCAGTGGTTTCACGAACTACTAGCGGAGAATGTATTCTCTGGAACCATTCTGCCCTCGATGGTGAGCGGGAAGACCAAACACTTATTCGTAGGTCTGTCATACCGGAAAATGGCAATATACATCGCATCTGCGTCCTGCGGAAGGGGCGATTTGTCGTCCTTTTATACCACAAAGCTATCGTCGTCTGGGATTGCCGTAATGGATCCGCATCGCGGCTCGCCGAATGTTCCTTTGAGACGCAAGAAACACCTCTATGTCTTATAGTGCTTCCTCGACCGCGAAATACACAATATATGTTGGCTTACATTGCCACAATAACATCCAGCGGCCACGGAATCGCGTGGGAAATAAAACTCCCCCAATATCTTAGCAATGATACCACAATTGGAAATGTGGTAGGGCTCTCTGAATTCTGCCGGTTCGAGCTTGCCACAGCAGACGAATTGAAGTATGTGCTCCCTGTGGACCCAGCCGGAGCAGCTCCGTCTATGTCTGGTTTTCTTGACATATTTGCTCGTGATGTGGCGATTTCATACACCCGCTCCGGGAGAGTAAACTTCTGGGCGGCACGTGTTAACCTGGCAAGCCGAGCGGTGGATTGGTTGTCGACATCCTGTACGGAAACTGGCCTGCTGGACCCGGCACTTGCAAGTGGTAGCATGCTTAAAAAAGCAGCTTTGGTGAATCTCACAAGATCGCAACTCACTATTTGGGATATCGGTGATTCACGTCTTGAGTATGATATGGACTATGAGGCACACCATAGTATCCAAGACCTTGATTGGACGTCCACTCCAGATGCACAGGCCATTCTGGCCGTTGGGTTCCAACATCGTGTCATACTACTGTCTCAAATGAGGTTCGACTACCTGAATAAAGGACCAGCGTGGGCACCGATTCACGAGATCGACATTCGGGATCTTACAGCACACCCCATTGGAGATTCCACCTGGCTTGCTGACGGCCATTTGGTAGTTGGTGCAGGAAATCAACTTTTCGTTTATGACCGACGTATAGATACAGGGGATTCCTCCATCACACCCATCAGTCATCTGAACAGAGATGACCGTAGGGACCTGTTTGAAGTCGTGCAGAGATTTAATGGTCCCATTCCTATATTTCATCCCCAATTTCTCAGCCAATATATTCTGTCTGGCAAGGGTCCTGTTGTCCGTCGCATCTTACTAGCCCTGTACAAAACGTTGAGATACTTGATTCCAGGTGATACCATGGACGATTACCTGGGTCTTCCGCTATCAGAGTTCTACACTGAAAATGTAAGTCAGAAATCGCCAGAGAGATACTTTGGTTCTAATGTCGTCTTGTAGACGTCTCCAATAAGCTCGTGGGGCAAAACCAAGGAATCTTCGTTCTTTGATGGCAATGATTGCGGAGAGGACGATATGTTTTCCGCAGAGATGGCAGCGTACATAAACGACAAATTGACGAAGATACGAATCCCCCAGCTCACTGGACACGAACAAATCCAATTGGCAGATATTATCGAATGCGTCGCGGTGGTGGAAAGCCATAGAAGATCGATGGACGAAAATGGAGCTCGGTTTATGCTATTCTTTCGACAGCATGCACTTCGCAAAGGCCGAATGAATGACATGCACCTCTCGTGGAGAGAAATAAACTGGGCATTCCATTCTGGTAGTCAGGACATGCTGCTGGACTTTGTGTCCCGCCAAAACCACGGGGCCATGTTGTGGGAACAAGCTCGCGAATGTGGAGTTTTCATGTGGCTTTCCGACTTAACAACATTGGTATGCCCATTACTCTTTTAAGTCTTTGTCTCGCGAACGCTCTATGTTAACATGGTACAGCGTGACCACTTTGAAGGACTAGCAAGAAATGAATACACCAAGAGCGAACTGAAAGATCCGGTGAATTGTAGCTTGTTCTACCTGGCCTTGCGCAAGAAGACGGTCCTGCAAGGCCTTTGGCGTGTGGCAAGCTGGAACAAAGAACAAGTGGCCACCCAGAAATTACTAGCAAATAATTTTGACGACCCAAAATCGCGAAGGACAGCATTAAAAAATGCATACGCATTGCTCAGCAAGCGAAGGTTTCGTGAGTTATCAAGCAGACTCAAGGAACAAGGAGTCTATATACTGACCGCTAAGCAAGATTACGCCGCGGCATTCTTCCTGTTGGCCGACCGTCTCGAGGACGCTGTCGAGGTTTGCCTCCGGCAAATCAAGGACCTGCAACTAGCCATTGCCATTTGTCGTGTGTACGAAGGTGACAGTGGGCCAGTGCTTCGAAAACTCATCCAAGATGAAGTTCTCCCTCTTGCCGCACAAGAGGGAAACCACTGGCTTGCCTCATGGGGTTTTTGGATGCTTGGCCGCAAAGACATGGCTGTCAGAGCATTAATTGTAAGTTCTCCTACCGAGGAAGCTGACAAGCAAATGCCAAGTTCGTTATATATTGACTGAATTCAACAAGATGCCTGTTTTTGCGCTTCTGGAGACTCCTTGCTCCCCCGACATCAAGTCTCGCTTGTTCTTGACCGATGACCCTGCTCTTGTTGTTCTATACTCCCAGTTGCGTCAAAGAACTTTGCAGACGCTTCAAGGTGCCTCCAAGATAACACCAAAAGTCGAGTGGGAGTTTGTTCTTCATAGTGCTAAGCTTTATGACCGCATGGGATGTGATCTTCTCGGGCTAGATCTTGGTGAGTGTTCATTCAAAGATGGAGAAGCGGTTTGACGCTTGTTGCGTTTCAAACTTTCTGTCTATCGATGTCTCTTTGCCTGCACTTGAGAATTTTGAAGTATGAAGATGGTTTTGGCTGATGTGATGTGTTAGTTCGCAACTGGGAATTCCAGCAACCTATCGCCACTGGATTTGGTGGTGAAATAAACCCCTTAAAATTGTTACGACGGAGAAGTTCACTGGTAGTGGATGATCTCTCAGCAACAAGACGCAGCCTAGGCTTGGACCGGACCCGTGACAATACGAGCCACGGGCCCCCTAAGTCGTCACCGTCAGCATTCGTGGAGCCCGAAGCTTCATCACTACTTGACAGTTTTGGACTCTAGATGTAGATTTTATGAACCTCGGGTTGTGTCGATGTGTCCTGCTAGTTGGGATCCGAGCCGAGCTTTAACCGACAGTGGGTGTAAAAATGGCAAACCTACATTGTCGAGTCTTGTGGCAGGATATGCCATGCTGCCACCCCCTATGTCTACTTATTCAGTCCGAATGGTAAAAAATTCCATGTGCGTAAATTTATCATGATTTCAGCGTTAGGGGTTGAGCAGGGTGTTATCTATCCTACATAGTACCTAGGTATGCTTAGTCATGTCTTGAACCTGGGTAGGTATGTCAGGGGTGGTACTCCGTAGTCAATTGGAGAGTTCATACAGTTTGTAAGCAGGAGTACCTAGTAGATATGGGGTTTAGCCATGGTTCTCGTTCTGCGCGCGTGTAATCAGCATCCCGAAGGCTCATCCATCACGACCGCATTCTCTGGCAGACTTGTTCATCATGGTTCCGCCGGCATTGGTGATAGAAGGGAAGAGCTTCACGCTTCGCAGCGTGGTTGCGGGCCTTGCTGTTGGGACGGTCATTTGTGCGGCCAATGTTTACTTTGGACTACAGACTGGCTGGGTGTCAATAATGTCCATGCCGGCGAGTCTGATGGGTTTTGGAATTTTCAAAATATTGCGACCTCATTTGACCTTCCCGTTCTCTCCAGTCGAAAATGTCCTATTGCAAAGCGTTGCCTGTGGGATGGCTATAATGCCGCTTGGATGCGGCTTCGTTGGAGTGGTTTGGCCCCCCTTCCCTTTTGCTGACAACCACGAGATATATGGCAAATTGACGCGATAACTACAGATTCCTGCTATGAGCTACCTATTGAAACCTGATGAACAAGGGCCTATATACCTCAGCACTATACAACTCATTATTTGGTCACTTGGGCTGTGCTATTTCGGAGTTGTATTTGCTGTACCTTTGTGAGATAAACCTCTCCAGCAACTATATCATTGTGGCAAAATTTTGTCGAAAAGAAGAAATAAAGCCTGGCTAACAGCCGAGATTGGTCCATATCCTTTCGTAGGAGGCAGCAGGTCATTATCCGAGAGCGACTAAAATTTCCCAGTGGTTTCAGCACTGCTGTCCTCATATCAGTGCTTCATGGCAAACTGTCTCAATCTTCCAAGCCAGAGAATCTAGATAGCGCCGCACGGGGTGGTTTTGCCAGCCTGGTTCCACGTACGGCTATTCAAGACCTCGCTGTGCCAAATACCATTACTGATAATGGTGCCGAGAATGACATCGAAACTCAAGCAGATCCGCCACCTGACTGGGCATCAAACATGGGACTGCTTCTCATTTGTTTCCTCATTTCTGGCTTCTTCACTATACTGACGTATTTCTTGCCTATCATGCGAAATCTTCCAATATTTGGTACTGTTGCCGCAAACACTTGGCTCTGGACCTTGAACCCTAGCCTCGCTTATGTTGGCCAAGGTGTTATTATGGGCACTGAGACAACACTGCATATGACGTTGGGAGCCATTGTTGGTTGGGGTATCCTCAGTCCGTTGGCAAAATTCAAGGGCTGGGCTCCAGGGCCAGTGGATGACTGGGAACATGGCAGCAAAGGATGGATTGTCTGGGTATCCCTGGCCATCATGCTGGTAGATGCCGTCGTTAGCCTCGGTTATGTTGGATGCCGTTCTATTCCCTCCTTTCCAGAAATTAGATTCATTGAAAACTTCAGCAAAAGACTACGCAAAGCAAGAGAACACATATTTGGAGATTCACCTCTTCAGTACACCTTGCTGCAGAATCAGGACGAAGACTTTCAGCCTCACACGCCAGACACCGCCAATGATACAATGGAGGCTAGTCGCGATGATAACGACGACGTTGATAGAAATGATGATGGCGATGGCGATGGCGATGACGATGACGATGCTCCGGCGGATCAGCGTATTGGAGGGAGGTTGGTAGTCATCGGACTTATCACTTCCATTATATTATGCATTGGAACGACCCACTTCGTGTTCGGCGATCTTGTTCCTTTATACGCAACCGTTATTGCTGTTTTCATTGCTTTACTTTTGAGCATAATGGGTGTACGGGCGCTCGGGGAAACAGACCTCAACCCTGTTTCAGGAATCAGCAAGCTGGCCCAGCTTTTTTTCGCCCTTATCATTCCACAGTCTAACAAGTCTAGCGTCCTGATTAATCTTGTGGCTGGTGCAGTGGTAAGCCAATTCATTCCCTTGCCATATCCCTCATAGCACATGACTATCTGTGTTGCGATGTATAACGACATGACTGGAAATATTACTAACTTACATACCAGTCAGAAGCAGTGAGTGTTGAAGTGCCATGCGTAATACTTTGTATCACCTAACCATGTCAGGGCGCATTGCAGGCCGGGGACCTCATGCAAGACCTCAAAACTGGGCATTTACTAGGGGCTGCCCCAAACGCCCAATTTTGGGGGCAAGTGATCGGTGCCACTGCTGGAGCGATCCTGAGTGCCTTCATTTACCGAATTTACACATCGTAAGCATTAGTTTTGCCAGATCTACGATTTTAGGGTCCATCAACTGACAGACATGACTCTTCAGGGTCTATGCGATACCGGGAGACCTTTTTCAAGTCCCTACTGCTTATGTTTGGATATTCACAGCGAGGTTAGTTACGGGGCAAGGACTACCATATATGGCTAAAGAGTGGGCTCTGGGGGCAGGAATTGTGTTTGCTGTTACAACATTGATTCGAACCGCTGGTGTGGACAAGTGGTGGCGGCCATATGTTCCGGGAGGCATCGCTGTGGCGGTCGGTACGTTTATATATCTATGTACCAGGGCTGACAGGCTTACTAATTTTATTCAGGAATATATAATGTACCGTCATTTACCCTTGCTCGAGCGGTAGGCGGGATCATTTGTTGGTACTGGACAAGAATTCTAGGACGATCGAATGCACAGCTTATCATTCTCGCGTCGGTACGCCAGACTTAGCTCTGTTTATCTACTTGAACATGCTAACTTTTGAAGGGTTTTATTCTTGGAGAAGGGTTCTTGAGTATTGCGAACTTGATTCTCCAGGGCCTAAAGGTGCCGCATTTATAACCAGTATGCCCCATAGATGTTACAGCCGCAGTCATCCAAGTCTGTAGGGGGGGAAGTTGTGCACCGTCCATTAAAATAGCAGATGGCTATCTATTTAAGTTCCCAGCTCTGGCTTCTTTCTTCATGCTCCGTCGACCACCTAAGACGTAGCGTAAGCGCTCGCGCATTGTCAGAAGCGGCAGCGAAGGTAATTTCTCCTGACAGGTGGCGTGAGGTAGAAATCGTTTGTGAGGGGTCTCGTGGACCGGTTAGCAGGAGACCTTGTTTCCAATGAGTCTCTGGCCCGTTCGGGCCGGTGGTGAAAGCAACGTGACCTGGCGATGCGAGAACCCACTTGTCAGGCGTGATCCTTGGTTCAGGAATTGGTTCTGATCTGCATGGGGAGAAGAAATTGTCAAACCAAATGAGAAAACCGTCTGGATCATCCGTGCCAACGTTGAGTTCTGTTTCCCAGTTGGCTGTAAAAGCAAGGTCTTCTGCACAGGTTGAATATAGGTCTAGAACTTTGAATGGGTATGCTCTACCACAAAGTGACGATGCAGGCATGCCCTGTACACGAACTTCGTCGTAAATGCCCTCCTGCATTGCCTTCATGTCAAATCCATAGACATCACGCCAATAGGAAACATGATCTGACATGTATGCCTCATCCTTCACAGGTGAGATCCACAGCGTGGCGGAGCTAGGAACTAGAAGACCATCAGGCTTCAGAAACTTGTCCCGTGCATACAGCACACTTGGTAGCATTGCTTCGTAGAGTAAACAGTAGCCCATCCATTCACTTACAATGATGTCGACCTCTTTGACGGGAAGTTGGACGTCTTCAATGCTGCCTCTCAAGCATGTTATAATATCTGCTAGGTTGTTATTGAACACGTTTTCTCGTGCTTTGTCAATAATGTCTGATCTGTCAACGGCTAGCACCTTTGCGGCGCCCGCCTTTGCGCAGAACATGCTTAGAATGCCTAGCTCGCACATCAGGATTACAGCTCAAGAGAAGAGCGCTCTCGAATCTCCGAGAGATTGGACGAACATACCTGTGCCACATCCAATATCGAGCACCACCTTGTCTTTGAATAGGTGTTTGTTCTCATATATGAAGTCTCGGTAGGCATCCGTGCGCACGGCGTCCTTGAGCATTGTTTCATGTATCTCTGTGTGCTATACGGTAAGCAATAGTAAACATGTTGAATTATTCAGGTTCCATACCATGCGCTGCATACGATTCGAAGTAGTAGCCCGAGGAATCTTTTTCTTTCAGGTTTGCCGATGAACTGGGAATCTCATCGACCCCCCACCGACGGTCCAGCGTTTGTTCCACAGCTAGGCGGTAATTTGCAAAGCTTTCACGAATAGAATTCAATTCTGACTGGAGATCTCTGTTTTTCCTGTGCAAGTCCCTGCTTGACTCGTCCAATGTGCCCGCAGTTTCCACCTCGGTATCGCTTGACGGTTGCAGCACTTCATCGAGAGAGAAAATAACAGCGTCGTTGTCGAGTACTGGTTTGAGGAAAAGATCGTCCTGAATATCATCAAGGGAAATCTGTGAAGGTAAAGCAATGTCGCTCTTGACCTGAGAGCGGATGTAATTCACTAGCTTCAAAGCTCCAAGGAAATCCAATTGTAGGCGATGAATGTTCTGAACCAGGTCAAAATTATATTGCTGCTTGCAATGCTGCAGCATTTCTGCAAGTGTGGTGAAGGTCTGCACATCAAAGAGTGATACGAATTCGAAGTCTTCCAGATCAGGTTCGACATCAAGCCAGTTGCTTTGCTCTGAAGTATCTGAACCCGAGGATGGCGATGCAGCACGCAGCTTGTCCATCATGCAACCGGGAAAGTGATTCAAGTTTGTAGGCTGCATAGACTCCTTTGTTGGATATTGAAGAGAGCGCTGGCAGTATGCTTTCTATAGAAAGCTATGTCATATGTGTTGTGGACGAACGATGTCTTTTATTTGTGCTTTTATGTGATGTTCCTAGTTGGCTTTTGTAATATTGTCCTAGGGCCTTCACGAATCGAGTTTTTTTTTTTTTTGGCCCGGCCCCCATATTTTGCAAGTAGACCAGCGCTTGCCCAAGCGGCTTGGCCTAATTATACTTAAGGCACCTATCACATCGATTGACAGATGGGACCCGCGCTCACCAATGGTAGCGTCATGATGCAATTAGAGGGGTGGTCAATCAATATCGCTGTAGCGGTACAGCTTTCCCATCAATCCACCTCGCCATCAGTATCGTCTGGGCCATCCTCTTCATCATCCTCGCCCTCGGACACATCCTCACCAAGCTTACGAAGCCGTGTCTGTGGTTTAGGGGTTGTTAGCTGGAGCCACTTCACTCTACCGAGAGATTTACCTTATAACGAGCGACTTTCTCCTCGAGGTCCCCAAATACTATGAGCAAGTCATCGAGCTCAGTCTGAGCTGTTCTCTTGGCGTCTGATTCTTCTGACAGTGTTTTCTCAACCTGGCCAGTGAAAACATTCACACAAATTAGCCTCTACTCATCACTCTCATGTCTTCTGTCATCGCGAGCCAGACCATCGGGGCGAATAGCTTACACGTTCAACTTTGCGCTGCAGCTCCTCGATCGTTGCCCTGGCTTTTTGAAGCTGCCCCTCTAAATCTGAATTCCGATTCTCTGCTTGTGTTTTCTGGTCAACCTCAAGCGCCACCAGCCTGGAATTTTTCTCCTGGAGCTTTTGCAGTTCCAATGCCTTAGACTTATTGGCCTTGGTGCTTACATGTCAACATAGAATGTCCATTCGGTATGTTATATGTAGTTGCCTCACCTTGATAAGATCAACTTCAAGACGATTCATAGATGCCTTGAGGTCTGCGACCTCTGCATCAGCTCGTAACCTGACGCGTTCAACTTCCGAGTGTGCGGACTGTTGAGCCTGAAGTAGCTCATTCTGATATTTGGCCTCTCTTGCTGCAAGCTGCGCTTGCAATGACGCAATATGGCGCTCCTGATCGGCCAATTTTGCTGAATGTTCTTGGGCCAGCCTTCTGCGGCCAGTGTTAGTATTGATGCATAGACATGAGTCCACCGGAGACGTACCGTAGCTGTTCTTCGTGACCACTCTCTGCATTGTCGAAGGAGGCTTTGAGTTTAGATAACTCAATCGCGGCAGCTTCGCTGGATTGGCGATGTTCTGCCTCTCGGCTATTAAGAGCCCCCTCAAGCGATATTATTTTGATTTTACTTTCCTGTAATGCACGATCCTTGTCTCCGACTTGGCTACGAAGAGAATCCACCAGCTCCCTGGATATCCCTTTCTGAACGCCGTTTGTCATGACAGAGATCTCGAGCTCTGGCGCCCTATCAATTGAGCGTCCAATCCGACTGTAGTTATCCTTGAAAAAGTCAACGAAAACCGAGTCAAAAAATATATCTGGTAGGCTGTTCCCGAAAGACGGATGATGCTTCTGTGATGTGACTTCGAAATCACGCATAAGAGGATTACTCCGGAGTCGTGTCAGTCGCTCCAAAAATTGCTCTCTATCCAATCTTTTCGAAAGAATAGAGTGAAAACTGGTCCTTGAAAGTGGTGAATCTTTTGTTGAAAATTCATATACAACACCAAGAAGGAATGCACAAAGGCCTTGAATGAGGACCCCCTTAGCAGGAACGGCATGTGATATGGCCTGTATCAAGCTTTGAACGTTGCTTCCTTCAGCCAAAAAGTCGTTCACAGCATCGAGATCCTCAAAGGTCCAGCCTATCAGCAGCATCAAGTATCCAACTGAAATTCTAGCATCGTCATTACGTGTGATGCTGGTGATGAGATGAGCAGCAATCGTTTGTATACTCGTGACGACCTCCTCATCTTTAGACGAGTCTCCTTCTGTGACTTGAAGCAGCCTTGCCTTTGCGGTAGGGTTATCATGTAGCAAATGGAACGCGATGACGGAGGCAAACCATTGGCGGTAAGGGTCACGGGCAAGTGCCGCAGCATCTGGTCGTAGGAGAACTGTCAGGATATTGGCAGATTCTTCAGCTGCTGCCATATATCCGTCGATTGCCCTGGATAAAAAATGAAGCCTGACCTCGGAGTGGTTCGAAAAGTAGGCCTTCAAGCACTCGCAAGCCGAAAACCGAAGGTCAAATGCTGACTGATCAAACGAGTTGAGTGTCAAATCCAGCAAGCCATCGATTACATAGGTCTTCGCTGCGAGTGTAGAACTTGCATCCTCCCCTGTGTCAACAAGTAACGGAGCGGGCACCATCAATTGAGCAAAGGTTTCCTGGAGAGGCTTTGCGTCCCGAATCATATCACCACAAGTATTTAATGCCTACGTATAATTGTCGGTTAAGATATAGTCACCCATAAAACGGTGCAAGTCCATTTTCTTACCTCTGCCTTAATAGTGACTTGGCCTTCCTCGCGAGAAAATGCTAACTGAAGAATATTATAAACAAGCCCCTGCTTCCAAAAGGCCTGCTGATTCTGCGAGACGCCCGCTGAACCTGAAAGTAGAAAAAGACGAAGGACGGCGAGAAATGCGTACACATTCCGGTTACGCTGTGCCTGGGCCCATACCGCAATATCGGCATTGGACAGTTGTGCCTGCAGCAGGCCTTCCAACAAACTAGCCAACTTTGAGATGCAACCGGATTCCCGAAAGAGGGATTGGTTGGAAGCATTCCGACGTAAAAGGTTTGCTAGAAGAATTAAACAGTCTTCGACGGTTCTCCCACCCTGGGTTAGCGAGCCGTCGGCTGCCACAATAGCAAATATTCGCTCGAATGCATTTTCGAACGCCACCAGTTTTTGTATTTCCGTGGATGTGGGCGTGAGAGCTATGAGCAGGCTGACACACTCGTTCCGCACGGCCTCACGTTGGTCGTCGAGAGTAGCAACGAGCCTGCTTATACCTAAAGGTGCAGTAAAAATGCATTCTTCAGTTCTTTCGGTCCGGGCTGACAGTATAGCTGCGAGCAATTGCAACGAGTACAGGCGCGAGTAAAAGTCGTTCGATTCCACGAAGTCTAACAGAAGTGTTATGTTCTCCTGACGCTGAGTAAATTCGTCAGCAAGCCAAAGAACCACTTCGTCGGAAGCCTCAGGGCTGCTCTCATTGGGGCTAAATAGCATCAGCAGCGTTTCCAAGACGACTTTGACAGTGTCGACATCGTCGCCGTCCTTAGCCAAACTCCCAATGAGACATCTTAATGCGCCAGAGGCCACTGATGCCGGGAAATCTTTAGCAAAGCTCCGTAAGCCCAGTATTGCCGCTCGTCGATCTTCGAGAAGGGTTGCCGAGTTAAGACGGCCGCTGTAAACTGTTATGGTTTCGCTAACGGACTGTTTGGCTGGTGTCGTTGAAATCGAAAACATGTTGCGGTCGTGCAATGCGCCATTGAGCAATGCAAACGCGCCGATTCTAAGGGCGTGCTTTGAATCTTAAGCTGAGAAGTCGAGTGTGGGTTGGCTGCGAAAGCAAAGGACAGCAAACATGGTCTTTCCACACTTTGGTACGGAGTGGAAGTCACGTTGGTAGTTTGCCCCTGTTAACATACCAGACGGATGTACGTACTACAACAATGGGGTCCAAAGTACTAGCTGGAGCTTGACCTTGGGCCCACGAGCTTTGTGGCCATCGAGTCAAGTTGGTACCTGAGTGGCCCAGGTTTGTCCTAGCCAGATGAGCTTCAATGCCCAAGTGCCCAAGTGGTAGGTGGTAGGTGGTACTTTAAAGGTACCTAACGCTTTCTTGCAGCGACATTAGGAATATGCGGCTCCACACCACCTTTTAGTCCTGATGACATAATCATAAGTACTTAGGTACTTCAACCTGGCAATTGTTCATCGATAGTGAATGCGCTGGCGACTAATGGGGAAAATTTCAGTTATCGTACAATCCTCACTGTTGTGTGTGTCCTACACGAACCCATCGACAAAAATAGCATCGCAATTGACTGCTTTGAAATTCCCCATTGCCGTCAAGATGGGTATCCCAGCTGCCTTTCGATGGCTCTCCAACAAATATCCCAAGATCATCTCACCGGTGATTGAAGACCAACCGGTTGTAATGCCGGATGGTTCTATTGTACCTGTTGATACGAGTAGTCGCAATCCGAATGGCGAGGAATTCGATAACCTCTACCTTGATATGAACGGCATCGTTCATCCTTGTTCACATCCGGAAGACAAACCCGCGCCTGAGGATGAGGAGGCAATGATGCTCGAGGTATTCAAGTATACAGACCGTGTCGTCAACATGGTTAGACCTCGGAAGCTCCTCATGATTGCTGTTGGTATGTAATCCTTCTACACACGGGCCAGCCCATACTGACGAAGATTTTCTTCTAGATGGTGTTGCACCTCGCGCCAAAATGAACCAGCAACGCTCTCGACGGTTCCGATCCGCACAAGATGCCAAAGAAAAGGAAGAGAATAAGAAGGAGCTGCTGAAACTTGTGAAACAACAAAACGGCGGAGTTCTGCCGCCGGATCACATCGAAAGTGTCGCCAAGAAAGTTTTCGACAACAACTCCATCACACCGGGTACACCTTTCATGGATATATTGGCCGTGAGCTTGCGGTATTGGTGCCAATATAAATTAAACACGGATCCAGCATGGGCTAAAATGAAGGTCTTGATTTCTGATGCCACAGTCCCAGGCGAGGGCGAGCACAAAATTATGTCCTTTATTCGGTCTCAGAGAGCATCGCCGGAATACGACCCCAATACCCGTCATGTTATCTATGGGCTGGATGCTGATCTAATCATGCTAGGCTTAGCAACACACGAGCCGCACTTTCGAGTTCTTCGAGAAGATGTATTCTTTCAGGAAGGAAGGGCTAGAACATGCCAGCTGTGCGGACAAAAAGGACATGAAGCACGGAATTGCCGAGGCGAGGCAAAAGAGAAGGCGGACGATGTCGATGACAAGCCTGGCAATGTTACACTCAAGCCCTTCATCTGGCTACACGTTTCGGTGCTGCGGGAGTATCTCGCAGCTGAATTAGCCGTTCCTGGATTACCATTTCGATTCGATCTAGAGCGGGCGATTGATGATTGGGTCTTCATGTGCTGCTTTGTCGGAAACGATTTTCTTCCACATCTGCCAGCCTTGGAGATCCGAGAGCATGGCATTGATACCTTGACAACCATCTGGAGAAATAATTTGCCAACCATGGGCGGTTATGTTACAAAAGACGGACACATAGATCTAGAAAGGGCACAGCGAATTTTGGATGGTCTTGCAAAGCAAGAAGACGAGATATTCAAGCGTCGAAAAGAGCAAGAAGACCGCCGTGAGGCAAACGCAAAGCGGAGAAAGCTGCAACAGAACAACAACTCATATCGCGGAAGCCGCGGAAGCCTTACTGAAGACCGCAAATATGGTCACCACGATCCATCTCAGGGACTGCCTCTTTATCCTATCTCCTCATACCCTAAGGAACCACCTCGAGCTATCACTCATGATATGGTGGTGAATAAGAGCTCTGCTCAAGCCGCGAATGTTGCCAACAAAAGCGCCGCAAGCATCATTAAGGACCAAATACGAGAAGCGAATCGACATGGTTCTGTCACGACTGAGCCCGAGGCTTCATCTTCCATCTTGGGCAAGCGTAAAGCGGAATCCCAGTCGGACACGGAAACGGCCAATACAAACACTGAAGTCGGCACTGTGCAAGCTAGTAAAACAGAGCATCCAGCGTCAGCGGAAGACCATATTGACACAGTCCGCTTGTGGGAGGATGGGTACGCCGATAGGTATTACCAGCAGAAGTTTCACCGCAGTCCCGATGATATCTCTTTTCGACACGAGGTAGCTCGGGCGTATGTTGAGGGGCTGGCTTGGGTCCTCCTATACTATTTTCAGGGCTGTCCTTCGTGGGAGTGGTACTACCCATATCACTACGCCCCGTTTGCAGCGGATTTTAAAGACCTTGCGAACATGGATATCATCTTCGAGAAGGGGAGGGTGTCCAAACCGTTCGAGCAGCTGATGAGTGTCTTGCCAGCAGCCTCACGCCACGCCCTCCCTGAAGTTTTTCACCCCTTGATGACAGATGAGGACAGCGAAATAATTGACTTTTATCCTGAAGATTTCGAAGTAGATCTGAATGGGAAAAAGATGGCATGGCAAGGTGTCGCCTTGCTACCGTTCATTGACATGCCCAGACTGTTGGCCGCTGTACAGACCAAGTACCCACTTCTAAGCTCTGCAGAGGCCGCGAGGAATGCTACGGGAAGAGATGTGCTTCTGTTGTCGGACAACAACGGGAGCATGTATGACGATATTTTAACCAAGTTTTATTCTAAACGACAAGAATGCTCCAAATTCAAGCTAAATCCGAAAAACAGTGATGGCTTGTCGGGGAAAGTTGAGAAGCGGGATGATTATGTCCCACACGGAGCGCTGCAGTATCCTCTAGCAAGGGGTGCCATGCCGAACTTGGACTACGATAAATCTGTTAGGTAAGCCCTTACCCAGTGTGCAGATTGAACAGTTTGAACAGAATATAAAGAACGCTAGCTAACGAACGTCTAACACTTTGCAGCGTCTACTATGATATGCCTCAAACATATCAAACCCATAAATCAATGTTGTTACGAGGAGCAAATCTTCCGCCTCCTGCGCTTACCCCCAGTGATGTGGAAGTTATTCGGGGTAAATCAAGGCGGGGGGGTCCTGGGGGTCCTGGGTATGGATATGGGGGAGGGCAGTACAATAGTGATAGACGAAGAGGTCCTAGGGCTCCTAATTTTGCGCCGCATGCCCCAACATGGCGCCCACCGCCTCCTGGTGGGCGCGGCTTTGGGATAGGAGTTCCGCCGCCGCCGCCGCCAGCATATGGTGGTAACCAATCGAGATATCAGGGGTGGAATAATAACGTGCGTAGGTGGTAGGTAGGTTGGGATATGAAGGGTGCTGTAATTTGAATTGTTTTTTTCCGTAATAAAAAAACTAGAGGAATATAATCACTAAAAATATCCTTGAAAAAACATCACTAAGTGGTAAGAATTTAATAAAATTTCCTTAAAAAAGCGCTTGTAGGTTAAAGGTGTTGTTTTACAGAAGTGTTAAATTTAATAATAATAAAGAGGGGACAGCTTTTCAGCGATAAAGTCAATAAATTATTACAAATAGCGGATGAATTTTTTTTTTAGCATTAAAATAAAAGTAGTAAAATAATAAATGTCCACTAACGCACGGCTAAAAAATTTTTATAGTTATTCTTTTTTTTTTCTGCACTATAAAATTAATTTTTCTTTACAAACCACTCTTGTTTTTTTTTTTTTTAAAAAAACCAGTTATTTTGTTCTGCGTCCACTGTATCTAGTCGCTGGCCAGCCCTGCATTGTCCAATTGTTTTCTACCGTATCACCACCCATAATTAGTGTGTGCTCGAGCAGGCAGCTATCGTCTTTCATCTTTGCCCCGCTAAGCAGCCGGCTGCCAGTTCGTAAAACGCAACGGTTTCCAATTTCTAAGCGATTGAGATCGAATTTACCACGTGTGTTAATATGAGCAACGACACTGGCGTCATCTACGGTCACCCTGTCGCCAAGAGTGATTAGATCTGGCTCAGTAAACATTAAGTTCGGACGGCCATTTGCAAACAACGCGCAGTCGTTCCCGATTTTAGCACCCAGGGCTCGAAAGTACAGGACTATCCAATTTGTGCCAGTCAAGAGACCAAGAATGCCCTGGCCACGATAACAGTGTTTGCGGAGCCTTTCAATGCTTAGGAAGAGCTGCCACCGTTGGCAGTACGGTGACTTGTCCCAGTCATAATTGCCAGGCTGTCGCCAACCAATCAATACCCACTTGGATGCTATGACAATACAAAGTGTCAAAATAGCTTGAAGCGATGTCAGTATAGCAAAGACAAGTGTACACAAGCTAAACAGCACCCCGGTCTCGTAAAGGATGCTGTTGTTTCGAACAATGAACCGATTCATAAGATGGTCTACCAACTGAATCGAAGAGATGTTTGGTATGTTCCAGTAGAAAGCAGTAAATACGGTCATAAACGAAGAATAGCAGAAGATGGCGAAGGGTCCAAGAACACGATATGGAGCCAGCTTTAGATAGAAAGCCTTCCCAAACGGCGAGATTGTTTCAGGGACGCGCGACTCGTCGTCCGTATCACCAGTGGCACCACCACTAGTCTGGAAAGACTCTATGTTCTCCGATGTGTGCGACTCGGTTAAAGTGTCGTCACTGCTTATACGTTGGATTCGCGTTCCTGGTGACAGTGTCTTGGAAATGCTTCGGTCACCGACCAAAGTATCGTCGCTGCCCAGATGACGGATCCTTTGTCGGAGGTTTTGCTTCGCTCTGTCTCCCGCTGATAAGCATATGGCATCGCGTCCTTTCGATCCTACGTATGTAGCACCAGCCTTATATTTCTTGTTTCTGCTTGTCAAGGCACCAGATCCCATCGTGGTTCGCTCGCCAATATCTACTCCGGGAAGGAGACAGACTCTATCTGCAATCATAGCGCCGTCCCTAATTACAATGGGCTCAGACCCCATGCCATCAGATGTTATGAGATGTGCTCGAGAGCCGAATACCACATCATTGCCCACATCGAGTAGGTGATAGTCGCCGATGCTAGGTCCGGTTCCCGGCCAGTAAACTCGTTTACCAATCTTACTCCCCAGCATACGCAGCGCAATCGACGTGGCTTCGTAGTGTTGACCAAACATTGCCGTCATATCACGCAGTCGAGAAGCGGGCAAAAGGCTCTTCATCAGATTTGCTCGCCAGGTCGAAATGGTACCGTCATGTTCTGTCTGGTGGAGCAGACTGGGCTTCCCAAATATCGCATCCAGAACAAGTTTGACGGATATCGAGAACGCGAATACGATAAAGGGGCTGAAAAAAGACCTCAGAATCAAAGCGAGATAGTGAAATGCAACACGTCTGGGTTCCGTAAACCAATCCAGCATGTTTCGAATCGGCGTACCAGCAACCGCAGGCTTCTGAACAACCATGCCAACCAACCCTCCAATCCAAGGCGTGAGAGACAAGAACCAAGATATCAGCCGCAAGGGTGTAGTAAGCAGAATCGTCAGCAGCCAGTGAGGTCGTGGTACCGTACCCTGTGAAAGGTGTCGGTTTTCTTCGTCCGCATCCTGCAACTCCCAACTTGAAGAGTTTGGTCCAATGCATGTGTTTGGGGGGACTTCCGTGCCGGCCGCTACGATGGATGATGTTCCAACAGAAGACCGCTCTCCGATAGTGATTCTTCCTAGATACATGGATGTGTTTCCTTCGGCTGCAAAGGGTCGGCATATGCAGCGACTCAGGACGGCGCTGTCGCGGATATCTAGAAGATCCCATTCCCCCAATGATGCTCCGGCAAGCTTCACATTCTTTCCAATTCTCGCACCCATGAGTTTACAGTACCACGTCTGGGTCGTATCATTCAAGCCGAACCACCCTTTGCCAGAGACACTGACGACCTTCTGGACCATCCACCATCTCGTATGATATGACCCCCACATCGGGTAGAGGCCTTCACGATACCGGCCTATGATGATCCACTTGGCAAGGATACCTACGAAGGGAGCGACAATCCTGACGGCCATTCTAGAAAATAGAATACTCAGTGTGAGATTGAGGAGCCGGCCGGGAGCAGTTGTATTGGTTGGCCAACCCTGCGTACAGCTAAACGCCACGATAAATATGGTCCATTGGAAAGCGCGGCGTAGCGGATACAAGACGACGAGGGGGATCAGTTGAATCGCCATCAGGAATGGATTTGTCGAGCTGTTCGTTTTTGTACATCCAACGACTTCGTCTTCAGTCCCGCTAGCTATGCTTGTTGGCGCAACCTTGTCCACGTAGGCCGAAATGGCTTGGATAGAGCCAGAGTTAAAGATGACGTTGATGGGAATCTGAATGCCGAATTCACTCCTCACAGCTGAAGAAAGACGGCCGGCACGGAGAGAGTCGCCACCAAGACTGAAAAAATCGATGTCTCTGGGCAACTGAGCAGGGTGGCAATAGAGCATATTCGCAAACACTTTGGCCACCTTTCCCTCTGTTGAATCGGCCAGCTTGTCCATTGACGCCTCAAGCAATCTATCCACCACAACCTGGAGTTTGTCATCATCCACTTGTCCTCCATCATCGGCAGGAAGCGGCTCTTCTAGTAAGTGAACTGTTTCCGGTACCATGTAGTTATGAAGGGAGCCACAGAGATGTTCTTTCAGGTCTGTCGCGAACGCCGTGGAAGGCGGTGGGTAAATCCGTTTCGCTGGAGCGCAGAATAGTTCCGGCATATCCTCTGTACTTCGCCGGCGCACGTGGCATCTCACATCAGCCGATGCTGCGGCACCCAGTGATTGTTGTATTGCCTCCGGGTCAATACAACAGGGAGCACATTCAATCGACACAGACAACGCCGTGTCAGGAGCAGGGCATATTGCCTCCCAGTGTCTTCGCAGGTATGGTATGTTTTCGCTAAGGACCGGCAAACCAAGCCTTTGCCCAAGTTTGATTCGTAGCACCTTATTGTTCTTCTTTGGTAGGTCATCCATGTATACTATTAGTGTCGGCCACTTTACTTGCTGCAACGAGGAGCGTAGTGCGTTCTGAAGTCTTTTCAAGTCAACCCTGGGCTTACCAGGCGGTGTTACGAGCACCACAGCGGCAACCTCCTGAAGAACGTCATGTGATGCTGAGAATGCCATTACTTGGCTGACTTTGCCATTGATGGGGGAGGTTGGTGATAGTGACGCGTTCATGATTGCATTTTCAACCTCAAAGGGCGAAATTATTTCTCCCCCGCGGTTAATAACTTCTTTGCTTCTTCCCGTAATGTAAAGGTAGTCGTCACTGTCCATGTAGCCCAAATCACCCGTATCAAACCACCCATCAGTGTTAAACGAAGATTTATCGAACGAGCCGTCGGGCAGCAAATAGCCAGGGAAAACAGGGTCACCTCGGACGCAAATCCTGCCAACCACCCCAGGGCCGACCTTGCGTTCTGACGAGTCCAGTATAGTAAGCTCCGGGCCGGTGCTGATGCCGGAAGTTCCTTCTCGACCAGACTCAAGCTGAAGCGGTGGTGTTGATATTGGCATACATCTGAAACAAGGCATTAGCAACTTCTCTCTCAACTTTGCTCCATTATTTATTTGACTCGGAGGCAATGCGTTTCAGGTGAGCTCAGACAGGCCAGAACATACTCCGTCATCCCATAGCTTGGTAAAACAAGGCAGTTAAAGGTATCGCAAAGTTGAGTGGCCAACGACGGCAAAAGTCCTCCTGCAGCGTTACATATGAGTCTAATTTTGCTCCTTTTCAGCGAGCCTGGTCGTTCAAGTGCCTGAGCGAGAATGACGGAGTGTATAGAAGGAGACGCATAGTACCATGTTGGCTCCAGGGATTCCACGACATCCCAAAATAAATTCGGATCGAATGCAGTGCAGCAGACTGTAGATCCTCCAGAAAATATAGGCGCAAGTATATTTCTGACTAATCCGCCGCTTTTGAATCGTTAGCCGCGGTATCAAAGTATCCGGCTTTGAATCCGGTAAAGTAAATCAACACTTACACATGATACAGGGGCATCATATTCAGGCATGTGTCTACTGGGCTCAGAGCCCAGGAATCCATGACAAATACCACTCCAGTAACTATCGAATGCAGTTTCATTGGAACGACCTTCTTCGTTCCGGACGTACCGCTAGTAAAAAGGATCAAGGCAATATCGTCAGGTGCATTTGGCCGTGGGCGTGTGTCGCGGGGCTTCAAAACATGTCCGGCAGTATTGAGTATACGAATGTCATCACGATTATTCCAGTCAACGACGAAAATTTCTATATTTTCGTCACTGGCCCATTCATCTCCTAGCTGCAACTTCTCGTAGTCCTGTGAGCTGGTCAAGATGACCTTTGCACCTGACTGTAGCACGTCGGCTCGAAATTGCTCTATCCCAGCCATTGGGTTGATCGGGGCAGCAGTGTGATAGGTAGTGACGGCGATGCATGTTGCCGCCAGAAGCGGTCCATTGGGAAGGGCAATAGCAACAACCGGTTTCCGTTCCGCAGGGCCGACAGCCAGGGGGAAAGTTGCGATAAAGTCATGCAACCCTTTATGTGTAATAAATTGGTCTGAATTCGTTGCTCGCAGCGCTGGACGTGAATCGTGACAAATAAAATCCAATAATGACCCGTATGAGTCTTTAATCATCGCCGATATCGTTTGCCTAAGCTTCGCAACCTCTCTTACAGGATTTGACTTGAGTTGTTTAGGTAGGAGCTTCGAGAGTCTTGCATAACATCGTATAAGTGGTATCGTGGGCCATGGACCAGGCACCTGTGTTAGTAGAGCGTGCAAGAGGTGCAAAGAACGCTCAGCTTGCTCAACAGTATCCGGAATCGATGCCAAAATGTCCCCCTTGTCCCATTGGCAACCGTCCAGACTACCTTCCAGACTTCCAAGCAGTCCACTCTTCAAAACTTCTAGAGACGGGACATTGGATAAGTGCTTCACGGCCGGCAGTCCCTCGAGGGGTAATTTCTGGGCCATTTCCAGTGGCTTGGAATTGCAGACTGTAGGTACAGTGTTGGTGAGCTCGTAGCTCTGTCTGAAACGGTTGCCGGCCAGAGGGGAAATTGTTGTATTATGCTGGGTATGAACAACATCACTTTGAAGGAATCTTGAAGAGGCACATAAATTATTACGCCTGCAGCGAATGGATTCTGCATCTTCGAATCTTTTGCGGTTGCACGATGGATCGCGTGTCGGCACGATGAGCTCTGACAGCCCCAACACGAGGCATACCAGTCATAGTGTGGGAATCCTTTGGTCACATTCAATAGCCTTGCCGTCAAGAACGGGATGTGAAACGCCATGTTCTATCGCCAAATCTCAGGCCCAATCGCGCTACAAGAGCGTGTCCCGATCTTCTTCTTACTCAATACCAGCATCATGGGTGCCTCCAATGGGGCGTAAGCGAAAGGGGAGGGGGGTGGTTCGTTTGTTTGTCTGTGTCGATGTTGACCGATAGTACAGCGGCTCAGTAATGGTGTCCAAGACATGTCTTCAGTTGGCCGAATCCCATCTAGCTCCTTTGAAGCAACATGATAGATGGTTGGCGCTGCCCTTCTGCGAAACCTCGTCCTAGCCCGCTCGTCCCTCTTAGTTAGTGGATGAAAAGGAACAGCGGCATAACTCAAACATATAGAGACATGTACGTACTCGCATGGCAACATATTGACCAGTGTCGTCATGATTTCGGCAGAGGATAGCGGCGAGGAACTTAATCAGAACATGTGCCATACTCGAGTTTTAGCCACTAGCTCAGACATATCCGGCTTCTGTTCATGAAAAGCCAACCCACGAAGCACACGCAAGAGGAACACGACAGCAAGAATCCGCAAGGCTATGCGTGCGGGAAGATTATCACTAATGCCGATTAGGAGTGCAAAATATCACATTCCAGAGTCGGGAGGCCATTTGGAGTTGCCGGATGTGACTCGGCTTAGGAACGCAACCTCCACCTAGCGTCGTGGATTCGACAGGAATGGAATGCGTGCCCTTATACCAAACCCACGACCCGTGCAGCACTCAAAACCAATTTGACGCCAACAACAAACATGCCTCCAATCCATGCCAATGCCCGACGCGATCACCCAGATTAATAGATATCAAGTTCGGAATTTTCCTCCACCACGTGACAATACAGAGAGAGTACTGCGTACAGCAAAATTCGATAGCTTGATCTCACAAAATATGCTTGTCTTGTATTAGATCGTGTTTTTATACCCACACCTTCTGCCAATAGGTGACAAGCCACCAGGAGCAGGCACCGCCCGCGTGGGTACTACCTAGCTGGTACAGTTTGCCGGATTCGCTTTAAAGGCAGTATTCACAAAGCGGGAGATATGCAATTAAAGGGCTTAATAACTTAGTGAGCAGTCTCCACGAAGCTATGCTCCAACGACGCGTTGTCCCAACGATACTACACATTACAATAGTCCAAGAGCACTCCTTTCCCAGCCTGGGTGGCCAAGAGAATTACCATGGCCTCAGATCAACCAATCTCCACGTCCGTGTCATTGCACTTCGACACGTAATGTGGGGGACACAAGCTAACCATGACGCAGAGTTTATGTACACAACCTTGAAGAAAGAGTCAAGATTCAACCCTTGACAGAATCTTTGAAGACCATCTTTTCCGAGTTTGGCGATGTTGTCGATATTGTGGCGAAAAAAAACCTCAAAGCCAAGGGGCAAGCATTCATAGTATTTAGCGATCCCGACAGTGCAAGAGATGCAATCGAAGAACTACAAGGATTTCAGCTTTTCGACAAGCCAATGAAACTATCCCTTGCCAAAACACGAAGTGACAAATCGATAGAGATGAACTGCTCATTGGATGAGTTCGAAGCCCACAAGAGAAATCGCTTATCAGAAAAAGGTACGACGGGAATATCTTATCCCCAAATCTTTTCGCCCTAACCTCGCCTGCCAGAAAAACGTTTGGCCCTAGAGGCAGCCGATAGTGAACGACAACCTAAAAGAGGTGCTGGTTCTACCGCAGACAACAGGCCGAGCAAGCTCTCCAGGCCATCAGGGCTGAAGTCGACAGGACCCGCAACTTCCCAGGTAATTCCGGATGAATACTTGCCACCTAACAAAATCCTGTTCTTGCAAAATATTCCAGAGGAGTATGACGTCGACGCGCTAGGCGCGATATTTGGCAGGTTCGAGGGATTTCGTGAAATTAGACTCGTTCCTGGGCGTCGTGGTATCGCTTTTGTGGAATACGAGGCTGAGCAAGGCGCAATTGATGCAAAGGAGAACACATCTGGAATGAAGCTAGGAGATACTGCGATCAAAGTCACTTATCAAAGACAGTAATCGTATCCGGGTACTGAGGCCTCATCTGTAGATGCGAGTTTTTAATCTACATTATATTTACTGAGTGTTTCCGTGACCAAGCAGGCCACTTTAGGCAAAAGTGAAGGTGTTGCCCGAGGCTGGAGCATCGTCAAAAACTAGCAACCTAAAAAATGACATCGTCTTCGTCCTCGCCGGCTAGAATATCTGTTGGGCCAGTCGCGTCGCTTTCGATTTTATCACCCACCTCCCTGCTACTGGACGCTTGACGCTTTGCCTTCATTTCCGCGTCTGCTGCTGCTGTGTCTCGCTGCTTTTTATTCGCCACCTAGGACCGCGAAAGTGGTCAATGCTACTCTCAAGGTGCTGAAATTATCTTTGCATTATGCCTACCTTCTTCAGTCGGTAAAATTCTTCTCGGTCAAGTTCATCGAGTTCAGAGTTTATATACTTGATAGTATTCTCGGTGCGAGGAATGATGACGTGTTCAATTGCATTTACTGTTACTCATGTCAGCTATGGCAGGCCATCATAAAGCACTTGCACTGTAAAAGCCTACCTCGCCTATTCACCACCTTAATGACTTCATCGAGGATGACGAACGCCGTTTGCAGGCTAGCAAGCTCTACGAGAGCTTCGACTGCTCGAGCATACGTCTCCCGGCAGCGCTGAACTTGCTGGCCTCCTTTGCCCAAGCCCGTTAGGCCAAAGTCATTATTTCCCTCTGTCATGTAGCTTTCGAATGCTGGGAGAAGGACACCGGATACATTGTCCTGCTTGGTCCGAACGCGAAACCGAGCCGACTTGGCTGATTCTTGAACTTGATATCCAATATCTCCCCCAACGGCGTATGTAACTTCCGCCAGGGAAAAGGCTGCGATTTGCATCACTCGTCCCATTTTACGCTTTGCTTCATCAATTCGTCTCGTTATTTCTGTAACAGTCTGGTCAGCCCACGATAGGCCCGCAGCGATCGCCTGGGGAGGAAGTACCTCTAAAACGCCTACCAAAAATAGCGTCAGTTGAATCTTGATGTTCCGTGTCAAACTCTAACACAGAACTGTTGTATTGCTTACTTGGTTAAAGCCTCGCTTTTCCGCTTCAGCAAACTATGCCCTGTCTCGGCGCCTTTGAGCTTTGCTTTCATGATTCCCAGCGACTGCCGAGTCGGAAAGACGGCCTCGCGGTCCTACAGAGCTGTTAGAATCAGGTTAAGAAGATTCTTTTCTAGCTTTTTGGAACGGTGAAATAATACAGAAGCACCAGACATGTTGAAAAGTGAAAGAAGAGCGAGCAAAAGCTACGTTGTGATTAACAGACAATGTCAAACAAGATGCTTGCTTGCTCATGAGTGTCGACCGGTAGTGGACCTGCTTGCTCGACTTGCTTGGTCTGGCAGGATGGATTATGTCACTTGTAGGCCACCACTACGGAAAACTTATCTGCTTAAGCGCATAATTCTCCACTTTAGGACATAAATTCGCATAAAGTATGGATAACTACTTAGGTACCACCTGGTGCGCAGCATTGGAAGGATCAGCTGAATTTATGATCCTATTCAATCAGACCCTGACCTTGGAAGCACTGTTTTTTTTTAACCATGACAGCTTTACCCAATCTTTGAGAAGTCGTCTAATGCTCAACATTCCTCAAGGGTCTACTTTGAGGGCTGCACATTGAGGGCGTAGCAACAAAATGGCTGTTTCAGCTGAGATGAAGTCAACATCTCGTCTCCCCATCGTCGTGAGTACATTCTGCCCAGTCCCTTGGCACGTTTGTTCGCAGAATAATTCCGCTGACCAAGGCCAAGTCAAACGAGGATTTTATATACGAGCAAGACGTGGCAGGTGATCCGGCTAGCATTAAACCTTGGCTGGTCTACATCGATTTTAAATCTCGTCATGGCACACTTCCGCAACAAAACTTTGTCATGGCTCGTGCATGCGCCCAGTTGCCGCGATCATACAAGCTCTGGAAAATGGTAAGGTCTGAAATGTATCATGAAGACATTGAACTAACCATCGCAGTATCTCGCCTTCCGTACCGAGCATGTGTCAAAGTTAAACCCCGCTATCTTCGCATCCGAATACAATAAAGTCAACGCCTTGTTTGAAAAGGCACTTATACTTCTCAACAAAATGCCTCGAGTATGGGAAATGTATCTTCAGTTCCTCGTCAAACAGCCAGCAATCACTCTCGTAAGACGAACTTTCGATCGCGCGTTGAGGGCGCTACCAATCACGCAACATAATCGAATATGGGCCTTGTATGTACCATTCTCAAATGCTGCGTCAGGTGACACTGCAGTCAAAATTTGGCGGCGATATATTCAGGTGCATCCGGAGGAGGCAGAGGATTTCATCGAACTTCTAATCGAATCGGGTTTATATACCGAAGCCGCAATAAGCTATGTCAACCTCCTCAACAACGTCCGATTCGCGAGCAAGACTGGGAAGGGCCACTACGAACTTTGGAGTGAAATGGTAGATCTTCTTGTAGACCATGCCTCGGATATTGAGGTGAATTATGAATCGGGTATCGACGTTGAAAGTATCATCAGAAGCGGAATCGCTCGTTTTCCCGATCAGAGGGGCAAGCTTTGGGTGGGTCTAGCCACCTACTGGATCCGGAGAGGCAGTTTCGAGCGAGCACGAGATACTTTCGAACAGGGCATAACAACCGTTATGACAGTCCGCGACTTTGCGTTAATATTCGATTCATACACCGAGTTCGAAGAGTCCATCATCAAGGCACTTATGGAAAGCGTAACAAATCGGACCGACATGGGAGTGGAAGATGAAGATGCAGACTTCGAATTGGATGTGCGAATGATGCGGTTCGAGCATCTAATGGATCGACGACCATTTTTAGTGAACGATGTGCTACTTCGCCAGAACCCAAACCTTGTCTCAGAGTGGGAGAAACGAGTCGCTCTGTGGGGGGCCAATAAACAAGAAGTTGTGCGCACATATGCGAATGCTATTGCTTCTATCCACCCTAAACGAGCCGTTGGCTCGTTTTATAAACTTTGGGCGAGCTATGCGCGCTTCTATGAACAAGGGGGGGATTTAAGGAACGCCCGCATAATCATGGAGAAAGCAGTCAAGGTTCCCTTCAAATCTGTTGCAGAGTTGGCTGACATGTGGATTGAGTGGGCAGAAATGGAACTTCGGAATGAGAAGTTTGATGAAGCTGTTCGAATCATGTCAAAAGCTGTCCAAGCCCCTAAGCGATCTACAGTCGACTACTTTGACGAGGCACTTTCAGCGCAACAAAGAGTTCATAAGAGTTGGAAACTTTGGAGTTTCTACGTGGATCTCGTAGAAAGTGTCTCTACTTTGAGCGAAGTAAAACGAGTCTATGAACGCATTTTTGAACTTCGAATCGCAACACCACAGACGGTTGTCAACTACGCAACTCTTTTAGAAGAGCACAAGTATTACGAGGAGTCATTCAAGATTTATGAGCGGGGCTTAGACTTATTCAGCTACCCAGTCGCCTTCGAGCTCTGGAATATGTACCTGACGAAAGCGGTGAATCGGAAGATAGGTATTGAGCGGCTTCGAGATCTCTTCGAGCAAGCTGTCGAAGACTGCCCCCCGAAGTTTGCCAAGACCATTTACTTGATGTATGGAAACTTGGAAGAGGAGCGGGGTCTTGCACGACATGCCATGCGGATATATGAGAGAGCCACGAGGGCGGTCAGTGATGACGACCGTGCGGATATGTTCAACTTCTACATTACCAAATCCGCTTCTAATTTTGGGTTGTCGTCTACTCGGCCCATCTATGAAAGGGCCATTTCCGCATTGCCAGATACCGAAGCTAAGGAGATGTGCCTCAAGTTTGCGGATATGGAGAAGCGATTAGGTGAGATTGACAGAGCGCGTGCAATTTACGGACATGCGTCACAATTCTGCGACCCCCGAACAAATGCCGACTTTTGGGCGAGGTGGGAACAATTTGAGGTCCAACACGGCAACGAAGACACATTCAAGGAGATGTTGCGCATCAAGAGAAGCGTCCAAGCTCAGTACAATACCGATGTCAACTTCATTGCATCACAGGCCCTCGCTCGGAGTCAGCGGGATTCAGATCATCGTGATCAACACGCTGGTACCACGGCCGAACTTGTCAGGCAATCCTCGGCAATGCATGGCTTTGTGGCAGCGAGTAGTGGGCCTCCACCGGGGGTGACTGGTCAACAAGATTCACCTGCAAATCCAGATGCGATTGATATAGACGGCCTTGATGATTAATCTCTCGCGGATAAGCTATCTCTTGTGCTTCGTTTTGCATCTCCACATCCCTCTGAGTTTGCTTTCGGCTCTCAGTAATCTGACGTTTTTTTTTTTTTTTCAGTCCCAGCCTTGAGGCTTGTACTGCGGAATTTATGTGTTATGTTCGTGTTATTTGCCACGCTTCATCTCGGCGATTTTCGCGTGGTATTTTTCGGCATAGTTTCTGTCAATATGGCCGTCTCGGGAATTTGGCGTTGCATATATGGAGCCTTTGCGTTTTTGAAATCGGCTCGGGGGTACCTTGGAGGCATCTGTACAAATTTAGCATTTCTGTCGTTGAGAGAGCTGGTGGTTTCGGTGTTGTCGTTTAGACATAGGGCAGTGGTATATTGTGACTTTGGTTATTCTGTGACTTGGGCCGTCTGTATTTTGCATGAACAGGTAATACGGACCCCATTCATCACTGAGCCTTCGATCTTGTTTGACGTCTCCTGCAGCAGGTGATTCAGTCAACACCACCGGGGTGTTATCTGTTTGCTGCGATTGGGACTCCCGATGCTGGTTTTCCTGGTTCATTACTGCTTCACGCTTTGGGCGTTTGCATATTCCGGTGTGGTTGCCTTGTATTCGGTTGCGTGACCAAGATGTGGCATCCGAAGTGTCAAGAGCTTGTCAGTGTTGGTTTTATACCCACATTCTGGACAAGTACTGTGCAGCTGATGAGCCGATCTAGTCAATTTTATCCCTACCCCGCAGACTGGTGTGCCTATTCCAACATGGTTCGGCCTATGGCATTATCTCTACGCGGACGGTGTAGTGTGGCCACTCTTGATACATTGGCCAGGCCGTACCCATCCCTGACGTCATGGCTTGTGCCACTACTGTAATATTGGCTGGCATGGCATTTGGACGATGCCTGGCGTCAGAACACGCGAGCTCTTGTTGACTTTTACCGAAGCTGCGGTGCGCCACCGAAGTTAGCGCCAATATCTACTTCCAGAGGCTGGGGTGGTTGGCCCGTGAAATATGCTTGAGAGTAATCCGTATGGCTGGTATGATGTTTCAGCGACAGGACCCGTTGCAACTGTGTGTATGTATTAACGTGCCTCTTATGTGATGCCAGATACTAGTTATAGCGGTATATTGTAAGCGGTATAGACCCTAATATAGTTGATCTCACCTACTAACTCAGCTAAGCTGACTGTGATTAAATAAATTAAACATAACATTGAACCACCCCCAACAATGGGAACAGAAATAAACTGGACCGTCCACGCATCCGGCTACCCTAGACAATGCGACCAGACATGACTGATTGCTTAGGCGACCCACCACTGAAGGAGATGACGCCCAGCAGCCAACCGCTTCTTAAACTTGAGCCCCAACCACCGCAAGCAATATTCGAGAAGTCGATACAATCCGCTACCCTGACAGACTGAGCTAATATCAGCCCCATGTACATTTAAACAAACCCTGTCTCCAAGGGGCAAACCCTTTTATGCGGCTACACATCGGCCGTCGACCGAGCTTCTGGCCCGGGATGAGCAAGAGAAAGCTTCACCAGTTCCTCTATGACAACCTCCCTGCCAAAATGGGGCCTGCTATACAGCTCAATGCGCAAGAGGACCGACTTCGACGGCTCCTCTTGGATGTATCTCAATCCATCAACGACTCTAAACTAACGGTACAACCCGTGGTTGTTCGCTGGGCTGGAGGTTGGGTTCGGGACAAGCTCCTGGGTATCGAATCCCATGATATAGATGTTGCCATCAATGCGATGACTGGAATTCACTTTGCACAAAGAATGCGTGAGTACTGCAATACAGAAAAGGGGAGCAGAATACACGCAATCAAACCCGATGATATCGGCAATCTTCACAACGTCTCAAAGAACCCAGACAAATCGAAGCACCTAGAGACTGCCATGGTCCGTATTTTCGGCCTCGACTTGGATCTAGTAAATCTGAGAAAAGAGACATATGCGGAGGACAGTCGCAATCCGACCGTTGAATTTGGCACGGCCGAGGAAGATGCATTAAGACGGGATGCGACCATAAACGCGTTTTTCTACAACATACACACTGAACAGATAGAAGATTTCACGGGTGGGATGCGTGATTTGACGGCTAAAGTCTTGCGGACGCCTCTGAGCCCCTTGGAAACATTCAAAGACGATCCACTCCGCGTCTTACGGCTGGTGCGTTTCGCAAGTCGGCTGGGGTTCTCAATCGAAGAAGAGACCAAGAAGGTTATGGCACATCCCGAGGTCTTGGATGCCCTGCAAGTGAAAATCAGCCGAGAAAGGGTTGGTACAGAGCTCGAAAAAATGTTGAAAGGTAGGCAAAGGGCTTCACTCACTGTAACTCCCTTCACCGGCACTCAACTAAGCTCTCGGTGCGAGAACATAGTATCCGCCATGCCACGTCTGATATGCACATCTGGAGAAGCAACAAAATCACTGACATGAGACCCAAGGAAATAACCCACGGTCTGCCCTGGAGTACATTGACCAACTATGCTTGTATGACGCAATTTTTACAGATTCCTCTTCAAAATCCACAGCAAGGCCAGACTCTTCACGATGGCACGTTGCCTACGAATGCCTTGATAGCCTTGTGCGAAAACGTAGTCCAGGCTCTCTCGGCGAACTCCTAATTAGGCCCGGTGAAGCCAACTATGCAGCCTGGATTCTGGCCTCCCTCAGCCCCTGGATGGTTGTAGAACTCCCGCCCAACAACGTTCGGAAGGCAAATGTCTTACCTCCGCCAGCTGTGGCTGCCCGTGAAGGATTCAAGGCACCGAATAAACTTGTGGACATAGTAACAGGCAGCTACCGGAATCGACGAGAAATCATACGCATGAAAACGTCAACGTGTAACGAGGAGGGGGCAGTTCTCGCAAGAGATACACTGGGCATGGCCATTCGTCGATGGGACTCTCATGGAGGACCATGGACTCTCCAGGTACTGAGCGCTCTGCTCGTAGAGGCCATGGAAAGCCAGGATGCGTGGACGGAACTTGATGATAAAGGTGAGCAGAGTCGTGGGACAAGCTTTAATTATTGACCCAACATACCAACACTGATTTATATCAATAGGGAAGGATGATTTCATGGATGGGTGGCAGAAATTCCTCGATCTAATCATTGAGCTTGATCTATACGATGCTCCGGGCATGAAGAGGCTTCTTGACGGTCGCTCTCTAGCCCTGGCTCTTGGCGTGAAGCCTGGGAAATGGACAGGTCAAGCTCTGGATTTATGTCTAGCGTGGCAACTTCGGAATCCTCATGAGACAGACCCAAAGGGCGCCATCGAAGAGATTCAACGACAGCGTGATGAGCTAGGTGTCCCTCGATAGAGAATTAATGACTAGGCGCCCGATACCAAGTGGGTGACGGTATAACTACTGTGAGAAATTATATGAACAGTGGCATAGATGTGCAGTGGAAGTCGACCGTTCCCTAATGCCTACTATCACGAAAATCGTCTGGTGCAGCAAACATGACTGTGCTCCTACAGTTGCGCTTTGTAATAGCGGGTTGGGTTGAAAGGGTCACACATGTCCCGGCCCAAAGATCTCTCTCTCTGGGCGTGATGATGACGGACATCGAAGAGTAGATTTCGTACAGTTGAGCATTGATAGCTTTCCCAAGGCAACACGGTCTACATCGAGGAGTTAGTCAACAGGATATTTCGCACTGAATGAAATGACTGTAGTAGAAGAGGGATAACAAGTCTTCCAAACTTCTGAAAGCTGTGCATGATGGGAAGTGAGAAGTGGATCCACAATCGCAATGTGGGAACCCCAGATCACACGCCCCGCCAACCATCACAGCCCTCCTACAAAGCTGATCTCACATCTCTGTTCTTAGCCACTGTCTTCTCGCCTTTCCCCCCTGGAACTACAATGGACGAAGTATGCCTCAGCAAAGAAAACGTGGGTCGATTGCGAGACCTTGGATTTAAAAATGTGGCTGCCGTTGTTCTACTGCCCAGCGTCAGGCTTGAGGCTGCTACAGTTGCTCCGTGTGATGTGAGCATCTTGGCCGAGACGACGATAGTTCGAGCAGTGGAGAATTTCCCTAAAGTTTCCAGTAACGAGGTATAGCCCAAGGATCTAATTGTTCCCAGAAACAATGGTTTACTAATATATGGATGGCACCAGACCCGTCTTGACATGCTACTCCAAATTTTTGCCTGCCTTGTTCTACAGCCAGCCATCGCCAGATGCAGCTCCGAGGGAGCGGACATTGATGTTCATGACACTGAAAGCATCCCACTAGATATGGGCCAACCTGACAGCTTAAATTCCTCCATGAATAGTTCTGACTTGCTGCTCTACGATAGCCTTACTCAGACTTTGGCATTGCAGATCCTATGGAACAGAGGTACACTAGGTCAGTACGATGGGGAATCCACTTTTGTCTATCAATACTAGCCGTCTATATCTGGCTAATAAACCTATCCGAAAAGATGAACAATACACAGCCATCCAAGCCGAAGCTGCGCTTGCTTCGCTAGTCGTGCTACTGCATAGGTTGAATAATCTAAGACTTCCTACTTCTACTCTGGTAGCTGTCACAGCTTATGCAGACCCTGGCGATTTATGGACAACCGAAACTGCGGCTCGTCTCGCGCAAAGGATTCTATCTCTACAGCTTTCCGGACAGGGACTGACCAACTTTATCATCGGGCCCGTTTTAAACCAACATGTCCGACTGATTCTTTCATCACCAACTGGTGGTGACCCTTCAGCCAATTCCAGAGCGTCTGGGTCTGTAGCTGCGTTGGACTTAGCAGAGTATGAGAATGCTGCTGCGGTACTGAATTGGGCGATCAGGATGACCGAGGTTTGCGGCCTTTGCTCTTTTGATCTCGTCGCGCCCTGCACTGCTGTTGTTTAAGTCGCTGACAAATTCAATTATACAAGAGTCCTGATATCGGAAAATACTGGCATCGCTTTGTGCCAGCGCTGGTCAACTTGGCGGAAAGCCGCGAAATGTCCGTTAGAGAGGGAGGGCTTAAGGCGATTATCTCGTTCCTGGCAAAGTGCCCATCATCCGCGATATATACCACCGGAATGGACCAGCTTTTCGAGCGCACGATCCTACCCACATTACTTCTTCTTCCAACTGCGACACCAGAAAAGGACTCGGTGACTCTGCTAAGGCTAGGATATACGGCTGCGCTGCAGCTGGCAACCACTAGTGGAGATTCTCACAACGCCAATAGACGGCGCATTTTAGATATGATAATCCGTGATGGAATACTAGAAGGGTTCCGCCATGCGGCGGATTATATATCTGTAGTCGACGTCTTGATGCAATATGTAGCAGAAGTGGTTTCTTGTCTCGGAATATTCTCCATTAAACACCTGAAAGTAAGTCTCACAATATTCTCTACAATATGCAATGCCTCTGACTACGAGGATTTCTTACAGGACCTTTTGGACGTCATCGAATCTGTCATTTGTGATCCGTTTGGTGCAGACCACCCTGGAGTGTTAACATCCGCGGCCGAAGCTCTAATAGTTATTATGACCAACTGTTGGCCTAGGATATCCAACACAAAACGTGTGGAGCAAATACTGCGGATTCTTGGCGTCTGTTGGCTAAACATGAACAATGAAGCCTCTCAATCAATTCACGAGGGGAGCATGCCGGTTCTCAAGTCCCGCATCCTTCAAGCGGCAGGGCTGGTACGATTCTTCGCACAAACCAATGCATCGGAAATAAATAGAACTTCAAGAGCCGCAGTTTTACGTGATCGCCGGCTACAAGACATTTTAATGCAATAGCAGTATGATTATGCTATCAACTAGCATGTCTTCGAGCACCCTTGTTCACAGCTCTGTGCCTGAAACACCGAAATCAGATTCAGGAGGTTATTTACTAATCTAATGGCTGTTGCTTGAAAAATGATTTCCCATGCAGCCACTTCCGGTAAGCTTTGTATCTCTTTTTGGTCGAGTCTTCGTCTGTTACGGTAAGTGGATTCTCACCTACTTTCAGAAGTTCACCATAGACATCCATTTCCTCATCTATTCCAATGACCATGAGACCTTGTTCACGCCAACTGCCGTTGATATATTCTTTATATTCTGACGAATCAACACCCGCAGGGGTGTCGTTCGACACAACAAGCGGTAGGTTCTGTGGGTGGCGTATGTATCGATCATAGTCTTCCGCTTCCGGTTCTCTTACTGATGGATTTAGGGAGTCATGAACCGCTTTTGTGAACGTCCACTGGGCAGCTTTGGACTTTTCAAGGGCACTCGGCTTCATCTTCTCACGTTTTGGCTGACCGTTGTCGTTATTTCCAGGATGCATTTCGGACATGGAACCTTGCTCAGTAGCCTTCTCCTGTACGGGCTGAAGCCAGCGCTGGAAGGAGATACCCCGTGCTGCTGTTCTCCCAGATTTTACTGAAGAAGTCACATCTTCAAACTGCTGGATCTCGGAAGACGTTAACGGGCTGTCGATACCTTCCCTTTTCGGTTTTCGTTTGTCAGAATCTGTATCTGTCTCAGCCCGTACTCGGAAAGGGCTGAGGTCATAGCGGCCGTCCTGAGTTGACTTCAGAGGAATGTATTTTATGGTAGAGTTCATCTTGTAGGCAAACATTTTTGGAAAGGAGGAGAGTGATGCTGGCCTGTAATACTCCAGCCAATAGTCATCGACTGCTTCAACAGGAAGGCTTGCAACAGTGACTGGAAGTTTCGCAAGCCTTGGGATTACCCTCTCACGCAAGTGAGACGGAGTATACCAGTTGATGTAATTGCAAGGTTTCATCACTGACCAATCTCGTGGTTTTGTATGGTGTAGATAGTAGTCTGTAGTCAGTTCCCACAACAAAGGCTGGCTATGTGAGAAGACATAGTTTCCCAGGAACAAATTATACGCTTCTTGACGCTGGCTATCCAGAAACGAGTTGTTATAGTAACGCTTAAAACTTTCAATCATATCCCGCGAGTGACTGGTCCACTGGTTTATCTTTCGGTAAGTTTCCATGGTGTTCACGAGCTGAGAACCACCATACTGGACTGCAATCGTATCGCCATGGTCATGCCACATATGTGTAAAAAGGTTGACTGCGTCTGTATCATAATTGACAGTCGTATCATTCAGAATCCCTAGGGCATGAAGTTGATACCCTAATGCACGCTTTCCAATGACGAACTGAGCTGCATTGGTTCTGTCAAGACAATCAATACAATTTGTTCTCGCCACTCCATTTTGTGCCGACATTGGGCTAATTTGACCGTCGCCATTTTGGAAGAACCCCGTCGTGGAGACTACCGAGTCTGCAATAAGTTCCAAGTTACCAATCACATCCCCGCCTCGAACTTTCGACGCGCGGCTCATGTCCCAAGCCTTATGGATGATCTGTTTCCCCGGAGGAAGAAATTGGTTAAGGTAGTTGATGGAATGAGTATATTCTTCTAGGAGCTTGGATTCTCTCGGTTGGCGTTCTTTGGATTTAATTAGGTTGACGACATATACTGGGGCGCCGTATCGACGGAATAAGTCATCAAAGTGCAACGCGGCAGCACCATAAAACGGATCCACGAGATTGAGTTCGATGGGTGGTTTTGGTGTCACTCCGGTGCTGTCCTGGGTCCAGTAGAGAGGAATACTACCACGATGTTGAACATATGAAGTATATTGCGGACTACAGTACAGCCGCGGTCCAGGAGAATGGAATGATGTCGTGAGAGATTCGGAAACTATCTGTTCAGTTTCTACATCGTTGGCGACGTAGCCCTAAATGTTGAACGTTGAGTATCTTGTCAGTTTGAAAAGTTAGGAAGGGTCAAGGCAACAACATACTAAGTCATTTGCACCACGTTTAAGAAACCGAGCCCCTGCAAAGTATCTCGATCGCCTAGCAATGACAGTAATGTGGGCAGTTCGGCCATAGATGGAGAGGGCTTTACGGCGTTAGCATGGCAATAACAAATAGAACGAGAGAAGAGGATGGCAATGGCTCACCTGCTTGGTCAACATATCCATGTATGATTGGTCGACACCAATCATAGGCAGCTTGAAGCACCTTTACCGCAGGTTTGAGCAGGTAAGAATTCCAGATGAACATGGTATTGGGTTCGTCATCGGAAGACGGCATCACACCCTTATCCAAAGCCGACCTTTCTCTCATGATATTATGCTGAAGTGTCCTCGTAATGTCGTAAGAGTAGCTATAGTAGAAAGACTTAGTCAAGTCCAGGTTGTTCAAAATGCTGAGAAACCTCTGCTCCTCCGTGTTTCGGGAATCTGCCTTCGATTTCCCGGGAGTCAAAGCAATCAACTCCGTACCCTCAACTTGATATATATAGTGACCGCCTACCATGGCTACGGTACTCTTCTTGGTGATGAAGAGCATGTAATACGGTCCTGTGAATTTGATGAATCCAATAATTCCCCAAGTAGTGCAACGCAGTTTAATGCCGCCTGTACCCCTGTTTCCATGATCAATCGTGTCCAAGAGCTGGTTTATTTCCTTCAGACTGTAGGAAATTTTGTCATCCGTCATGTTGAGTTCTGCACCCTCAGTAGTACGGTCAATTTTGAGAATACGATATCGTTTCTCGCTGACGTCGACGCCGACAACATAGTAGCGGCTTGCCGTCTCGTAGAGGTTGAATTTGTGCATCTTATGCGCAAAATTGGGGAAAACTCCTCCACTTTCAGAATTGCTACCAGCTGTAGTCGGGACAAAGTCTGGGGAGATTCGACTAGACGGCCTCCCGACTGGCTGTGGTACGGCAGGTTGGTCATCGTTGTCCAATTCGACAGATATTCTGTCTTTTTGCTCGCCATTATCAGTGAACAGGTCTGTTTCTTCGTTGTTCTGCAACTGTGGGAAGGCGGGGGACTTCTGGTGTCGGTCGCCAGCTACCGGCAGAGGTGAGCCGGTGCTCCCCTCCCCAGCCTTGTTGCTAGACATCGTTGATTTCTAGATATAGTTCATCTCCTGGATGCGTGCGTCCTAGTTAGGCAGTTGCGGCTGTGTTCAATAGAGCGTACAAAAATGCATCCTGGTCCAAAGAAGGGTTCAGGGATATCAGACTAAATACAGACCAGTATCGAAATTATTTCGAGCGCAGGTGGCTGGTTGCTTTGGTCGAGAAGGACTTTAGAGGTCAAATGCGAAGTGATGTCAACCCCGGGGATTTGTTGCCTGCATGGCGGTTCAAGTACCCCAGCACCTTAAGTACTACCTACTTAAGTACCTAGGTAGGTACAGTGGGTCGTAGGTATGTACTTAGGTGGCAGCCAACATTGAAAGTTGACCTTCTAGTTGGAAGCCAATTAATCTACTTGTGGTGCCCACCCCACTAGACGGGCAATTGGCAGTTGACTGGACAAGATTATATACTGGTATTTAGACAACGCCTGATGGGAATAATAGACGCCATCGACATATCAACATGCTCCAATTCACCTATCCACCTGGTAGGCATGGCACTTGAGGAACAGATACCTACATGTGTAAGTACTTGGCCTGCTCGATGAAGTACGAGTTCGGGCTGAGCATCAACGTACGCAATTTGAACCACGGTAGTCCTCACTTTCAGGAAACGTTACTACGATTTGTGTACCTGGCGTTTGTTGTGTCGAAACTGACAAGTGTCAACCGGCTAGCAAAACCAGTCTACCTTCTTCCTGGTATCACAGTTCGAGCTGTTGGGAATAATGAACCGCCCAAGGCCACCTAGGTAGGTAGGAGGGCTCTGAAGCCTTGTTGAGTAGTGACCACTTAGGTTGATTGGGCCTCTTGATCTAGTCTAAATCTTCGCGATATGAGTAATTTCGGCGGCTCAGTGGCCTATGGGTAGCTATATGTTATCATTTTCTTTGGTCACTTTCGCCGCCGCCGACAACATCAGCAACTTCACCAGTTTGCCCTGCGGTTTCTTTCTGTTCATTCTCTGCATCTCCACCCTCGCTTTGGACCTGATCTGTACTGGATCTGGTTCCAAGGCCCTCTGAGGCAAGATCACTTCGCAACTCGGGTAGGAAGCGATCAACCCGCTTCCACGTCTCATCCCACAGCGTCTGTTTGGATGCATCTTGTGATGGAGGAACAAGATACCCACTGCTCGCCATGAACAATACGACATTCTTTAAATTCTCTCTCACTGCTTCCTCCTATACAACTCATTAGCACTAGTACGACCTAAGTAGAACGAGTGAGTAATGAACTCACCAAGCTGTCACCTTGACCACTGTTCATCAGGCGATCCATTATGTCAATGATTTTAACCCACAAGTCAAGCATCCCATCCCATCCAGAAAGCAGTACTAAGTATTGCAAAAAAACTTTGCAAAGAAGCGATGCGCATTGCACTCGCATCTCGCTCATGCCATCTCTGTCTGAGGAAAAGACTTCTGGCTTAAGAAGTCTTTGTATCAAAGGGAACAATACTCTACCGAAAATAGCCGTCCATTCCTTTGCGTCCGTAAGCGTTACCTCTGGGGATAGAAGCGAGCGTTGCATGGCAGAGAACGCGAGTTGCCGGATATCTCTACAAGGATTGGTACATTGCGTTGTTAGTGTTTGGAAAATTGGAAGCCAATACGCTGACCAAGCTAGCAGCTTGTTAGTTGTCGTACAACATATACATGTAATGGAGGTTCTGGTGCCTACCCTCACTCGTCTCGAGCCGCGATTGCTGCATCAGGTTAGGGACACGAGCGGCCATGTGTTGCAACGTGATAATGGCCCTGCATCCTCTCTCAACACTTTCATTATCGCTATTATTATGTTAGCATGATGACGCTATAATAAGTCCCA